GCTGCTGTTTCTCTCTGTGTGTTTTCTTAACCGGCTCTGTCATCAAAGCAATCATCAGAGAGGCTATGAGATTGCAGATTGAGATATAGACCCTAACCAGAGCCAAGCTAAAGAGTGAATCCTTCAAAGGAAAATTGATTTAAAATGTCTGTTAACTGATAAAAAGATCAACAGACTGTTCATTGTGTTGCTATGAGCAGTAGAGTACGCTATGATTAGGACAATGAAAACAGCAACAATATTCATTCCATGAAAAAACAAGAATTAGCCACTCTGGAGAGGTATCTTTGGCATTCGATGCAGCCTGGTCAGCGCTGTGCCCACCGTAATGCTGCCAACAGCCAAAATAAAGACAATGAATCATTTCTGTCATGAGATCTGAACGCCAGTGAGATTTGTTCAGTGAGACACCGTATTCAGAAGTGGGTGAAAACTCAATCACACTATATTGAGAGATCAGGCACCACTTCAAAGCTCACCTCGGGCAGAGAGAGGGTTGAATTTTCAAAGACACATTTTAGAGTGGAAATAAGTTATAAGGTCGGGGTAGTGTCATATGTACCTCAGGGTGCAATCGTGCCACTTATTGGAAACAGACCTTCAGATTCAATTAAACTCTCATATTCTTTGCAGGCACATCAAAATGGATAAAAAAAAAAAAAGTTTTTAAGAAGAGGGCTCCAACCCAGAGCATTCAAAAAACATCCCTCAGCTTACTTGCTCAATTAGTTTTGATGGGTCAGAGCATTCTCGGCTTACAGTATATGGGCATTAACCTAAATCCAGGCGGTATTAAACCACATACGCGGCGGCTGTGTATTAAATCGTATGAATGTGCTTGGGTGCTGTAACATTAAGTGCCTGGCAACACTGAGCCATCTCGTCCCCATGAGCGCAGCTTGCAGAATTCTTCCTCACCTGGCTGATGCACCACGTTCTTCCCGCATCCTTACTGTCACAGACCTCAGCGGCCCATCTGTGCTTATCTCAACCCTGGACATGTGGGAGATTACAGACCATCTCCTCCAGGTATTTCACACTTTATTTACACCCTCTGCCTCCATAATGGAGCGATCCAGGCTGCAGACAATCACAGCAGCAATGCACCGATGATCGGCATTGTACCGGCTGGGAATAGGTGGTGACTTGTGTGCATGTGTGCATGGCATTGTCTCAACAGAAGGAGTGTAGACCACCTCTATGACTAATAAGTACTTGCTCTCCAGGTGCTTTTGGAAATATGTATTTTGTGCAGTGCACAAAAATGGGTAATGTTGTAAGGTTTACTTCAGCTATACATTTTACACACTACACTGCGCATGCAAATAACAGACAAGAAGGTTTTGTGCTCATTTTCCTTAAAATTCCATTTTAACACAATATGGCACTCCATTTTACAATGCGAGTTCTGATAATGCATCTACTGTTGCATCTATTTCTTTGACTAAGGGGCCCGTTCACACAGAATGTGTTTTTGCATTCCACTGTGAAGTTTTTCCATTGTTTTTCTATGTAAACATGTGCTAGACAGGTGTGTTTGACCATTGTGCTCCTGTCTCTTGCAGCGTCTTGCACATGACACTGCGTTCTAAAAATGTGGTGCTCAAGATAAAAAAGGTCAACTTTTACACTGCCCTTCATCTCGCTTGTCAAAAAACACTGATCAAAACATTGATTTATACGGTAACAAAACAAGCGACTCTCTTAATGGGCGAGTAATTGAATTATTCGCTTAACTGCTTCATTCAGGAATGAAACAAGTGACTGGCTACATCCGAAATCGCATACTTCCCTACTATATACAAGCGAAAAACAGTATGTGACAAAAGAGGTATTTACAAATTCACATTGTAAAATAGTAGGCAAAAAAAACCCCGGATGACCTCCTTCTTCTGGCGAGAATCTGAAGTGTGCAGTCGATGGACACTTTACTATCCCATGAGGCCACAGAAGAGGATTTATGAATGGCGGTAAAGAGACGCAACTGACGCTGGTAGGTTACATGATCATTTGTTTATTTATTTGATAAACAAATTATCATGTGACCTACCAGCGTCAGTTGCGTCTCTTCACCACCATTCATAAATCCTCTTCTGTGGCTTCATGTAGTATAAATGAGGTAGAATGTAGTATGTTCGGATTACATTTATACTACACACATTCATACTATAGAACATACTTTCTTAGCGGTCGTGAAGTAATTACTTATTCGAAATAAGTACCTACTGTACTCAAGAGTATATGTGATTTCGGACGCAGCTAATGTATTTTTGAGCAAGTCATTGAATCGTTCACTCAAGTCATTTGTTTACAACACTGATTCATTCGGTAGTGCCACTACTGTCTGGTGCTCTGAGACACACAACAACAGATTCTGCTGTGGCTTCTTTTCACACTATTTTCACTAGCGGAGCAAAAATACACAGCTGACAATGTTGTGTCTAAAATGGATATGTAAGTTACTTTTAACATGATCTTTTTTTATTGAACTGTTGTACAAATATTGTGCTGTCTAAATATTCTGTAATCTGATGACCGTTATCATGGTCCTCTAACTTAGTGGTTCTCAACCCTGGTTTGATAGGAAGACATTCAAAATGTGCACTGTTGAGAACCACTGCTGTGGTTTCAATTTTCCAAAGGTTACTATTTTCAGTGATTACTGCAAGACTGCAATGGCAAAAGGTCATGCTATAAAATAATGAGGAGGGAATCTTCAAGATAACTGTAGCTTTTTCACAAATTAATGTCTTCATTTAGGTGTACGTGAATAAGGTCATTCTGAGTCCACTGTGAATGTTACGGCCTGGATTTAACTCAAAATCAACATTTGGACAGTCTCGACGGCTCTCTTGAATTAAGGATTCATTAAGCCTAATAACCTTCCAGTGGTTGTCCACTGGTAAGCTAACAAAGAGTCATAATTGAGAAAGGCCTTTGGATTAGAATGTGATTTCATTCAAAGGGACAAAATTAGTTTTGCATGTGCTAATCTTCCTTTTGTGCTTAGGAATATTTGCTATAGAAGGGAGACAAGTTAATGAGCACTCAAGCGTAGATGAGCAGAAGAATTTTCCAGAACGAAACAGGCCCGGCATATTTGGTCAGCAAACAAAATAATTTAAGACACACTAAGAATATGGTAATCTACCCTGCGTTTGATTTGCTGTGGGGGCGAATACAGTCACGGGAATGAAAGAAACTATTTCATTTGAATCAATCAAATTGCAAATTCAGGCTAGTGCTCGGTAAAAGACACCAGTGGATGGCTATTTCGTTCTAGAGAGCCAAAAGGGGAAGATATTCAGCAAGGATAGAAAATTACTTTTGAAAAGTGTTCAGACAGCATAATATCCTAGGGGTGGTGTCCTAAAATATATGAACATCCTTGTCCCCATACTGGCCAGGGAAATTTATAGGATTAGATCTATATTTTAATTTGTTAAAGTAATTTGGAAAGTTAACGACTTCACAGTGATGGCATGAGCCAAGCCTTGCTCTGTCAAGAAAAAGATGGGCACTAATGATTTCACACTTCCTGAGGGCTGTGTCAAAATGGAGCAATCACAAACATTTTGCTAATAATTTTCATTAATCACAGAAATGACCTTGTTTATGATTTCGCTCTGGCTAAGAATAACACAATATATGAAGCAGCTTTTATGAGCAGCCAGGTTGTAAATGTACAAGACACAAAAGCCTTTTGACTGACACTTTATAAGATGTAGGATAAATCATGCTGTTATGAATGAGCATCTTAAAAGATGAGTCTCACTGCTGACCCACTGTTCACGCCTCTTTATGCAAAATCAGGGGTGCCTTTGTTCCTTTGTGTCCATATGCTGGCAGAATTTGACGGGAGGAAAATCTTTTGAGGTTTCCCTGCCAGGAGAAACCGCTGCAACTGGGTGCACCGCTGGAGACAGAAACAACTGGTGCGACTGTCATCCGCTCTGGTTGCTGCTTAGAATACTAACGAGAGTCAGCACGCCTCAACCCTGAGCCCTAAACAGTGTTAGGATTGTTCCACTGGAATACATCAGGATCTCTATGTCCGGCCCCTGGACAAAAGCACCTAAAATACATGCCACAGCTCTAACTCTTAAATATTTTTTAACTGACTCTTTCTATGTTTTTTTTTCAGCATGTAAACTCTGTTTGAGAATAGAGTTCTCTACCCACCACCCTCCTTAGGTGACAGTAGAAGTTGTACAACTGTGTGTAACAATAGAGGGATTAGGATAACAACAACAAAAACTGGCTAATAATATAATTTGTGGTCAAATGAAGGAATTTCACATGACAGAACTGGAATCATCTGGTATCTGTCAGCAGGTTTTCTTCCATCTTCATCTACTTTCCACAAGCATTGCACAAAATGTGCCAAATGTATGTCTGTACTGTCCCAACTGTGAGAGTGACAAACACAAATAGTACATGCTTTTATGCATTTCTATATTTGTTTCCAATTCTATTTGCTGTTTATATGTTAACCATTTTTAATCGAAAATTTTAAAAGGAAATGGTTTGGGTTAATTTGAAGCAATAAATTCGATTCTTAAATGCACAAAATTTAAAAACCTACCCCGATGACTACAGCACTCTTTGTATTTGGATTAATTCACACAGTTTAAGGAGACATTGTAGATTTCTAACTATATGACATGTTTCAGATTAATTTTGGAACATTATATCAAAGTTTGACAGTGAAAAAACAAAACAAAAAAGAGTCGCGGAAACAAAACATTTCGCGGTTCTCACGCGCTTTTGGATTATGTTGGTTTTGTCTCAATAACAACGAGTGAGTTATAACAGGGAGAATAAATAATCAAACAATCAGAAAACAACCGAAATTGGAAAAATGCACATTCGAGACCGAAAACAAGTCCGACTTACACAAGTCAGACAGACGCCAATACATCGGAACAGTTTGGCCACATCTTCCTCAAAATCTAAGTAGCGCTTTGGATAAAAGTAAAGAAAATGAGTTTGCTGCTCACCTGTGTCTTAAGAGGTTCACCCTTTTCAATGATGCTGATGAAAGGTATTTCCAAAAACGAGGACATGAACTCCACTTGTATGAGCTCCTCGTGACTCTGAGGGAACGCAAGCACAGCCGAGACTCCCTGAACAACGATATCCTGACACACGCACCTGAACATTGACTCCGGGTCTCCATTTAGCGGTTCTCGGGACAGTACTTCCAAGCTCAAATTGTACGGCAAGAAGTTGTTCCCACTTTGTCGGAGGTGGACCAGGGCGCGGTTGAGGGCTCCCTGTATCCTGGACTGCTGGCGGGTCGGCAGGAGCGCACCCAAGCGCACTGTGTGCCCAATGCGTGCCAGGATGTGACAGGGCTGGGGATGCAGATGACAAGGGTAAATAAACATCTGGAGAGCAACCTGGAGCCCGACATGAAGGTATGCCAAGAATCTGAAGAGCACTAAATTCATCCTGCTCCTTTCGCAACTGGATTGAGGTTTCGTCACAAGATGGCATCGCTCTATTCTTGTCCAATGTTCTTGTCCTTAATGGTTTTACGAGTACGCGGATGCAGCCTCGGTTAAAATGCAAGTAGTGCAACCATTCCGTCTACTCCAAGTGTTGAAGGCGAGGAGGTGGTGTGCGCGCCGTTGAGGGAGGAGGAGGTGCTGTGCCACAGGAGATCTTCAGCATCACCCGAGCTCGAAAGGGAGATCATTTGTGGCCACGCCAGGTTTGCTAGAAGATCAAATTATGACGAATTAAGCTTCCCCAAAGGTCACTTATGCAACATTATTAAAATGTCTTCAAATCTTAACTTCATGGAAAAGTAAAGGGGGACTCAGTAATGTTTGCTTTTTAAAAAACTGATTCACATAATGATATGAACAGCCTTTTGTTTTTAAATATAATTAAAATTACATTTAAAGTGCACTTTTTCCAGAATTTTAGATTTTATTGTACATGGAGAGGGTCGCCCCCTTTTGGCCGCCGCCATGTTAACATCACATGACCAGTTGTGTCATGCAATTAAGCAAGTTACTGCTATTAAAATGACAGGGATAATAATACATTTTCTGTATATTGTGCTTTCAGTCAGTGCTTTTTACAGTGAATGAAGCATGAACATAATGGTCACAGTCACCACAGCAAAATGCTATCTGCATACCAGCACTAACTATCAACACTGTTCAAAATTGGTGAGATTAAATTCAAGAATGTCCATTATATTGATAATAAGAGAACAGATTATATTTAGTAAAGAACCTGCATGCATCCAAACTGATAGACATCAGTTTAAAGTCCAAAACCACTGGTTATTGGGATGATTAAGAGCCCGCTAAATGTAAAGCTAAAGCAAAAACTGAGAGAGTGCACCTTTAAATTGAGATTGGTGCAAAACTCTACACTTCAGAAGCTGGTAAGCAAAATATTTTTCACCGTTAATGATTTCAGTAAAGTCTTAAAAAGAGATGAAGAGGTGACTGAGGCAGTAATTGCATAGTGAATTCAGACAGTTTGGCATAGTTCAAGGACAATACACCATTCATAAATTATTTAATTAAATAATAATTGCATGGCAACACAGATGCTCTGTTCGGTATAATTAATTTACAGTAGCCTTTGTTTGCTATTGAACAGTAATCCAAATATATTAACTTGTCACTCTGAGCACAAAACTGAAATGCAGTGTAATAGATTTTTTTTCACATTTACAGAGCATTTTAATTTAGTACTATAGTAGGTACCGTAGACATTTTCCCACAATAGGTGGCTAATATGTTCATTAAAATATTATTTTCTCCTTTAGTAATCAAACAGAAAATGTATATCTGCCATAAACTACTCATTACACAATGCTTCCTTAACAGTAATGGAGTCTAAAGAAAATTATGCACATATGCAGTCAACTGAGGAAGGAATGAACATGTGCCCTTTTCACCTCTGCAAATATACACAAGAAATATGAACAATGGAAGTTTATGTTAGAAGAAAAGTTATTTTCAATAGCATTGTCATTTTATCACTATGATCCGATCCTACATAATTTCAGTGCATTTTTCTTTCATGCATCTATAGTTCATTTATTTCCTGTCTGACAAGAAACATTAGTACTGCAATGCATGAAACTGTTTTTAAGCAATTACTTGTGCATTTTGGAAAGCTTTGCACCCTCAAATCCATTTGCTGGTAATAATAGCTTGGATGTTAAAGACTAATTGAGGATTAGAGGCCACTGACTGAGTAAAAAGCATATGAATGTCAAAATTCGGCAGCATGTCCTGGTATAGCAAAACTTCTGACATTATGTGTGCTACAGACATCACATAAAATGATGGTTTACATTTAGATTTACATTTATATATGGCCCATATTACAGTATATGTAATCTCTTTCAGAAACAAACAATATATATAATTCAATCTCTTTTCCTGTTCTAAACCACATCTCAATGAACAATGTCTGAACAATGTCACCAAAAACCATTTGCCTTTCTGCTTAATAGGCGTATACTATGATGTCCGTCTGATGTCTGACACTAACATGTAACCAGTGATGCTTGCTTGATTGTTTTTTCAGCTCCAGTGCATACAGATCAACATTTCAGGATATTTCAGAGATGCAGGTGATTTTTAGGGTAAATCAAAATCTTTTCACAAGACACCTACGCAACGTTGTCCTGTCCTGACACATGGATGGCTCCACTTGATTTTCAGCAGAGGTATGCGATTGTCTTTTACTCACCTTCAAGCAGACTCGCTCGTCTTTCTTCGAGACAGCTCGTACACTCTTAGAAGAAAAGGTTTTATATAAAGCCTTTAAAGGGATACTCCACTTTTTTTTGGAAATAGGCTCATTTTACAACTCCCCCAGAGTTAAACTGTTGAGTTTTACCGTTTTTGAATCCATTCAGCCGATCTCCGGTTCTGGCGGTACCACTTTTAGCATAGCTTAGCATACATCATTGAAGTGGACAAGACCATTAGCATTTCTAAAAAAAAAAAGACTATAAATGACTAAAAATGACTACACTCTCATTCCTGCGTAATAATCAAGAAACTTCACTGCCGTACCATGAGAGCAGCAGGCGTAATGATATGACGCAGCGCCTGAAAATAGTTCCGTTGTGTTGACGGAAGGTGGCCTATTTTCAGGCGCTGCGGCATATCATTACGCCTGCTGCTCTCATGGTACGGCAGTGAAGTTTCTTGATTATTACGCAAGAATGAGAGTATAGTTCATAGCCATATCAGCCTAGAAAATCGCAACTTTACATTTTCCGTCGGTCTTAGTGCACGATGTAACTACAGAAGAGTCAAGTTTTAAATAGGAAAAATATCGAAACTCTTTGGTCATTTTTTTTTTAGAAATGCTAATGGTCTTGTCCACTCCAATGATGTATGCTAAGCTATGCTAAAAGTGGTACCGCCAGAACAGGAGATCGGCTGAATGGATTCAAAAACGGTAAAATCTCAACAGTTTAACTCTGGGGGAGTTGTAAAATGAGCCTATTTCCAAAAAAAGTGGAGTATCCCTTTAATGGTGCGTTCACACCGGACGCGAATAGCGCGTCAGGTGCGAGTGATTTCAATGTTAAGTCAATGCAAAGACGCGTTATGCGCGTAAAAAATTCCTGCGGCGCGAATGAGGCGTAGAGCGCGGCGCGGTAGACGCGAATACGCCACATTCGCGCGTCAAGTTTGCGCGAATGGCGCGAATTGAAGCGTCTGGCGCGGAAGCGCGTTACGCGCGAATGATTTAGTTAGTGCTATTTGTGCATTCATGCGTTTGACGCGAATTCGCGTCTGCCGCCCGAGTTGAAAAATTTGAACTTCTGCGTCAATTCGCGCCGCGTTAACCAATCAGGAGCCTGCTTGCTGCTGTCACGTGGTGAAGTGAAAGTTTATGTTATTTTATTAAACTATTTTGTAATATTACTAAAATGTCTGGTGTGGTTCTAATGCACAACAAAGCAAATCTTTCACATAAAATCTTGATTTTAATATATGAGAGATAGTACTCATTTTGTATTGAATGCTATTTATTCCATATCTATTTTAGATTATATGAAACATTATTATTTTAATGTAAAAACAACAAACACTTAGTGTATAATAAATAAATAAAAATCACAGGACAGGTTTCACTTTTGGAGGCTGGCTCCATTTATTATCAAATAAATGTGCGGGCGAGGGTGAACCTCTTGCCGGGCTGTAGAGCGCGGGCTCGTCAGGCAGCGACCACTCGAGGCCGAGGCTTTACACGGCCTACGCTGTCCTCGTCAACGTCCTCACCGTTAGGTCCACCAAACCTAGCTCCTGGAACAAATGGTGAAACTCCTGAAACCCTCCGGAGGGTCTGGTGGATCCGAGTACAGCGATGATGTACCCTACGCAGCTGTTTCTGCTCTCCAGAGCAAATACGAGCGGTGACTCTCTCGATTACTGCTAATGGTAATGCTCGATAAACATCTAAAAAAGATGGCCGCCTCCGGATTTCGCTTCTGACGCGCGTAAATTTCGCTTCAAACTTTTATTTTTACGCGTGTCAGTTTCACTCTTGACGCGCGAATTAACACAAAGTGGTCAAGCGTCAAACTACACGCGGTAGACGCGAATTTGACGCGCTATTTGCGTCCGGTGTGAACGCACAGTAAGGGTTCTATTAGGTGCTTCATATATAGAGCTTTTTAGGGGTTCCCATGTGATCCCATCATTTGTTTGGGGTGGTGATGGCGCAGTGGATAAGACACATGCCTTTGGTGTGAGAGATCCGGGTTCGAATCCACTGTGAGACACCAATGTGTCCCTGAGCAAGACACTTAACCCCTAGTTGCTCCAGAGGCGTGCGACCTCTGACATATATAGCAATTGTAAGTCGCTTTGGATAAAAGCGTCAGCTAAATGAATAAATGTAAATGTAAATGTTTGAAATATTTTTTCCCCATTAAATTGTATGAATTAAACAGCTCATAAACATACTTTATCTCTGGAAAATTTTTTAAATAACCCATTAAACATAAAAGTATTATGCAATCATTTAGGACAGTTCTCCCTTATGGAACCTTTTGGCAAAAAGGTTCTTTAAAGAACCCCATTGAACCTTTTTAAAGGGTGTATCTCTGGACCCTTCCAATAGTCAATTGTCTTCAACTTCATTCGTCAGCTTCATATCACCCTGTAGCCCAAGACTGGTTGCCCACTGAAGCTAAGCAGGGCTGAGCCTGGTTAGTACCTGGATGGGAGACCTTCTGAGAAAACCAGGTTGCTGCTGGAAGAGGTGTTAGTGAGGCCAGCAGGGGGTGCTCGCCCTGTGGTCTGTGTGGGTCCTAACGCCCTAGTATAGTGACGGGGACACTATACTGTCAAAAGAGCACCGTCCTTCGGATGAGACGTTAAACCGAGGTCCTGACTCTCTGTGGTCACAAAAAATCCCAGGATGTCTTTCGAAAGAGTAGGGGTTTAACCCTGGCATCCTGGCCAAATTCGCCCAGTGGCCACCTGTCCATCATGGCCTCCTAATCATCCCCATATATTCTGATTGGCTTCATCACTGTCTCCTCTCCACCAGTAAGCTGGTGTGTGGTGAGCGTTCTGGCGCAATATGGCTGCCGTCGCATCATCCAAGTGGATGCTGCACATTGGTGGTGGTTGAGGAGATTCCCCCCTTCTATGTGAAGCGCTTTGAGTG